GAAACTCTCAGGATCAGTTTTCCCATCTGGAAAATGGTGACAATAGGACCAACCTCATAGCATTATTGCCTGTATGAGATACCAAGCTGTGCATGAAGTGGCTAGGCACAGTATCTGACACCTAGTACCTCCTCAGCAAATATTAGTTTCCTTCTGTGTACCCCTCTCCACTCACTACCTAGTCAGGTGCTTTAGCCAGAGCAGGCGCACAACGAAAGTTTGCAGACTGTAAGGAAACTGTGGGTGATTTCATCCCTTGCTCATGGACAACGCCTCTGCCTCTGCTCACACCGCTTCAGGGTTTTATTTGGGGAGTGAATTAAGTTTGGGTTTCTCTGTTTAAACTGATTTTTTAAAAAGTTGTTTCTTGGAACAGAAAGTGCTGAGGGAGCGGGGTTGGGGTGCACGGCTGATCTACCCTGGAGCCAGGGCCAGGGGAGGGTCCCCCCGGCAGGTACCTTGACGCGGTGGATGCTGTTCCCACTCATGCTGCTGCTCCTGTCGATGAGGAAGATGAACTCTCCGTGGGACTTTCTTAGGTTCGGCTGGACTGACTGGAGGTCAGGACAGAAGTTGAGCATGATGACAGGGTGGTGGGGAATGTCCTTGTGGAGGCGTTTCCGGATGATTTCTGTCTGGAGGAGAAAGGAAAACTCTCTGACACGGGCAAGCAGGGGGTGCAGAGATACTCGTGGAGACCACGCTGGTCCCCGTCACTCATCGCGTGTCATCCAGATCCCACCCAGGCTCTGCACAAAAGACCTCCGGGCTGACGCGGCTCCTCTGTTTGCTAGACTTCAACAGGTTGCAACAGCAACATGGGCTTTGTAGGCAGAAAGTCCTGGATTCAAATCCCAGCTCTGTCACTGTCCAACTGTGTGATTGTGGGCAAGTCCCTTGTCTGGGTCTCTTTTGTCATTTGTAAAATGGGGCAAATAACATCCGCTTCCCAGGGTGGTGGAGAGGGTGGCCTGAGTTAGCACACGCACGGAAGGCCGCTTAGTTGAATAAAGGTCTCTTTTGCTTTCACACTCAGTGTGCAAGCTGCTCTCCGGCTCATCTTGGCTGTGAGCTTGGTTTCCCTGGTTTACTAATAAATTCCTACTCATTCTTCAAATTTTACCTGTTTGGAAAGCCTTCCCTAATCTTCCAGGTGGACTTAATTACTTATTTTCCTCATCCATAAAATGAGGACAGGAATACAAGCCTCACGGAGTTGTTGTATGGATTAAATGCAACGCCTGCGCCTGGCAGAGCTTGTCTCTAAACAGCGGCCACCATTGCCGCGGCCGCTGCTGCTGTTGTCACTTGCCCTGGGGGCCCAGGCACTGCTCATGCTGAATGAAGTTTTTTGTTCAAATCTCTGCCACCCCCTAGCTTGTGCGCTGCTTGAAGGCAGGTCGTGCCTTAGATGCCTTGCACATCTCCAGCAATTAACGCAGGGCCCAGTCCAGAAACAGAGCAGTAAACACTGAGGGGAAGATGGAGCTTCTGTCTTTATCTTTTTATGTGGCCTCGTAGCTGGCCCTGAGGCCACATGCTGCTGCAGAACCTTCTTCTTGGCTCTTCCCTCACTGCACACAGAATCTCAGTTCCTCCATACTCACTCTGCTTTCTCTTCCTCCGCCCCGGCTGTCTGTCTCTCTCTTTATCTGACGGTCTCTGTGTGCACACGTGTCTGTGTCTGTTTCTCAGGTTCTCTCTATTTGAGTGCCTTCCCCATCGCAGTAGATGACATCACCCCCCGCCCAGTTCAAACCAAACGCCTGGCAGCTGTCATTGGTTCTCCTCCTCCCCTCGCTCCACACATCTCTGCCTGCAGCAGAGCATCGTCAGTCCCACGGCTAACAGGCATCCTGGACTCGTCCTCTTCTCTCTGTCCCCATAGCCACCACCCAAATTTAGGAGGAGATCATCTCCTGCTGGACCCTGCAATAGCCTCTCACTGGCCTCTTTCTTCCACTTTGGTCTCCCCACGGTCCCTTCTGCATAGAGCGGCCGGGGGATCGTTCTCGTTCTCTTGCTTAAGCAGTGGCTCCCGCTCACGGGCTACACCTGTGGCCTGACCGCTGCCTACCTGTGTGCCTACCTGTCCCCCTCATCTCTACCCACTCT